GAGTTATTTGAGGCCCTATTCCTCAGATACTTTTGGTATGTTGGAAGAGACTAGAAATTAGCTATTGTTTGCAGAAATAATTACATTTGTTGATTCCTGGAATAAAAGACCTGGAGAGTTGCTGAGATTTTAGTTTACTCCCTCCCCTTTTTGCACATTTGGAACAAAGACCCTAAAATATAAAGAGAATTGTTCCAAGTTACTAAGCAAACTGGTGATAGAAGCAGCCTTAGAACCCAGGTCTTCTAACATACACAGAAACTTAGCTTACTGACTTTTGCCTGAATAGTAACTTTCAGCTATTTCGTAACTTTTTTTCTGCCCTCTTTATGCACTTAAGTGCCCCAGGGCTCGATGACTTTCTTGAATTTTTCCAGCATGTTAGTAAATGACACCCTCTTAGATATTTAGTGAAGTCATTCTGGGAGTGAAGCTAGGCAAGATCTTCTCTGGAGCTTCCAAGCCCTGTACTGGTTTTCTGCCAAGCACTTTCCTTGCTTGATTACCTGGGGTCCCTCCTCCATTACAGTTGGTGGGAGAAAATGAGGTCACCCTAGATCACAGGTGCTGGGGAGGGGCCAGTTACTGAAGAGTCACCTGGTACTGGACCTGTGGGCGCACTTAGCACAGAGCTATCCTCTGGCAACTAGTGTTGGGAGTTGGGTAGATGGAATGTTGTGATAGCCATCGGAGGTCTTGTCTCTGAGATAGGACATCAGACTCAGTGGGCATCCAGGCATATGCTGGAGAGAGCCCTTTATAAAGGGAGGCAGTTATGCCAGTCTGCCGGGTGTCAAGGATTTTTATTTGTAATTTTTAATGTTCATATATCTTTTTTTTTCCTCATTTGATTGCAGATTCTTGGATGGCAGGAAGTTGAGTCTTTTTTCGTTATTACTTCATGCAGTTGGCACTTTATTCAGAGGGTGTTTCCAGATTCAGGCAGAGTGTCAGGATGTATGTTTACTGCTTTGCTGCTGCGTGGCTGTAGCAGAGCCTGTCTTTTCATCTTTTGGGGGATTGAGTCTTCATCTGTAAAATGAGCAGTAGGAGTGACCTCTGAAGGCATTTTTAGCAATAGTCTCTAGGATCCTGGGGGCCTACATGACTCCCAAAATGTATCCTTACTGTGTATCTTAGAGAAGTCATTGTTCTTCTCTTTTCTGTAGTAGTATTACTGAGAAAGTCCACCCAGGGAACACCATCCTCACCATCCTTCCTTAGCACACAACAGGAAGGGTTTCCTCTTTTACCATCTTAAAAAAATTGTCAAACCTATAAAAATGAAAAGGAAGGAGGCTTGTGAGGGGAGATGCTGAGATAAGGGCCAGTGGTCAGCACCTCTCATGCTCCTGCCTGGTCTTCCTCTGAGCTGCTTTCAGCTGCCATTTCTCAGTATTCAGGCTGGGTTGCAAGAAAAGAGTCCTAGATTCAAGGGATGAGAATCTCTGATGACCACCAAAGAGTATAGGAGAGGCCAGAGGTCATGGCAGAGAGAAAGAGACAGTCATTCGTTGGTGGCTCTGGGACCTGGTGGTGAGTTTGAGCAGAGTTGGATGATTCAGAGGGAATTTCTTGAATGCACCAAGGTTCTTTCTCTAATGAGTACAGAGGAAAAATAGGATACGGCTAGGAATATTCAGGTTCCCATCCTCTGAGAGCTTGCTCTTCGGGAAGATGGATGGAGAAAACTTTTAACTGTTGTTCAAGGTCCAAGAAATTAGCTCAAAGGAAAGGACTGTTAATCCTGACCTAAAGAACAGGGAAGCCTTCCTGGAAGTGTCTGTCTGCATCTTCCCTCACCCCTCCCAAGTATGTCTCAACTCTGCTCTGTCCAGGTGTGCTGTGGCAAATTCAGAAACTTATGAGCATGCCACTGACTGGGAAGGCTGAGAGGCAGAAGCTGAATCAGCTCAGCCTGCCCGTGAGAACTTTGTACCTTTTTCATTTTCATAAGTACAGTCGTTCGCATTTTACTTAATCCATAGTGCAGCTGTCATCGAGCTGCTGTAACAATGGCCGCTTCTGCCCCAGAGCCCACTCCAGGCTTGGAGCTAAAGGCCCCAGCCACTGGTGGTCTTAGCACTGACCTTGTCCCCTCAGCTACCATGTCCACGCAGAGACTTCGGAACGAGGACTACCCTGACTACAGCTCCACTGATGTGAGCCCGGACGAGAGCCCATCCGAAGGCCTGAACAACTTTTCCTCCCCAGGCTCCTACCAGCGGTTTGGGGAAAGCAGCAGCACAACGTAAGTAGCTGTTTCTTCTACCCTCTTGGGGGAGATTCATATTTCTAAGTTCTGCATTAGTAACATAGTCTACCTTAGAGTTATTTTTGCTCCCCTGTTTTGTTAATTCCCCACTTTATAGATGAAAATGAAGAGATCGGGCAGTCACAGTGCTAAGATTTGAGGTCCTTGCCTGCCATTCTATAGTCCGCTTCTTATTCTTCATTTGTTTTAGCTGTGTTGGTCCAGGAAGGCTGGTGCCAAGTAAGCCTGAACATAAAAACTTGTAGAGAACATTCTCTTAATTTAGAACGTGGGTCATCTATGCTAGAACCTTAAATATATCCAAGCCCAATTGGAAGTCTCCTTTGCAAAGTCTCCCCCAGACTTCTGTCCGTATTACCGAAGAGCTAGTTTATTTGGCTGAGGAAGTGGGAAGAGGGAGGGATAACTACTCCTGCACTTAAAAAAATCAAGGAGTTGATAGAGAAGAGATCTGCTGTGCATTCCTTAGAAAGAGCTTATGTCTCACCCTGGAAACCGAATCCTAGGACTCATCTGGACTGAGTTGGACCCTCTATGGGCCTCAGTTTCCCCAAATGTCAGGTAAAATTGAGGACTCCACTGTGAAACTATGCTTACTGTCTGGTGCTTACCACTCAGAAGATTCAAAGGAGGGTTTTTTAGTTATTCCTTTTTTGTGTTCTCTTATGGGTTGGGTGTGACTTACTGAGTGACCCTTTATGTCCTAGACTTATGCTGTCCCCTGTGACTGCCCAAGGAGACCATGGAAGCTTCTCTTGGAGCCCATTAGTGGTGAAGCTCCCTCTGGCTGTAGTCTCTCCTGGTGCAGGGCACTTTCTCTGGTGAACTGGGATAGAACTAGAGGATCTGGACTGTCCACATTACCAGCCCCTCTCTACCACTAGCTGATGTCTGCTTGCAAAGCTTCAGTCTCTACAGCTGATTTCTCATGGAGCATGCTTCTGTAGATTCCTCCATTTGCTTGCATTGTTAGCTGATGGAAAAGATTGCTTAGAGCAGTGGTGAGGACCATCTTTCCTCTCTTTACCCCTAACCTTTCCTACCCAGTTGGCTTCCCCTAGGCAGAAGGAGCTCCAGATGCGACCAATGACATGTGATTGCTTCTCTTCAGAAGTCACACTCGTTATTGTGAAATACTTCCTTTAAGCTTCTTTCTCTGTAGTTTCCCTTCCAGCTTTTGCTCCTTGTTCTCAGGCATCAACTTTATGCAATGCTTGTCATATGCATTTTCATTTTTAAAGGGACCTCTCTGAAGTTTAGAACCAACCAGCTAGTAACTTCAGGATGGTAGCTCATAGGTTTTATATGTATTGAAGCTAGTTCATGCCTGTTAGCTATTCTGAATATCTTTTTTCACATTGGGTTATAACTAGTAATTAACCCCATGCTATTTCCTTTTGTTTGGAAAATGTCCCAATACAAGCCCAAGGAAGGTGTTTTCTGATTGGGTATACCTTGTTCTGAGGGGCATGCTGCCCTGATGTTGTGATACAAGATAAGTGACCAGGAAAGCCCACCTTTCCTGTAATGGGCATGTATCACAGTCCCATCATAAGTGGTACAAGGTAAAGTACTCCTTTGGGCCTTGGAAGATTGGTTGAATACTTGCTTGAGGCCCGAATCCACATAAGCATTTATGTGTAGAAAACATGCCAGGTACGATTAAAGTGTAAGCTGATTTGGGGGACCCTGTTAGCCTACATGAATCTCATATGTGAGAAATGTTAGGGACAGGTTTTTGAGCTAGATTCCTTGTTTATCTTTACCTTGCTCCCATCCTGTCACCTAGTTTGCCAAGGATCAAAGTAAATGGAAGTATCTCTTAGTCTGCTGCATATATGCATGCATACATCTGATTCTTCTAGGGGTTAAGGGCTCAGTAAAAACCCTGAATCAGGGGTGCAAATAGGAACCCCAAACATTTCCATGACAATGAGCTTAGGAAGGTTATTTCCTAACACGATGTCATCAAGCTGTTAACTGTTTTGGCAACAGCCTCATTTCCCTGCACTGGGCAAAATTTTCTTCTTGTTGCCTAGTTGAGTTACTTTATACCAGCTATTGACTGAGCCTCGGTAATTCTTCCCCAGGTTGGCAGGCTGGGAAACCAGTTGACTGAAACTGGTTTTCTCTAGGTTTTCTGGAGCAGCTAACTGCAAAGTGTGGTCTTCAAACCCTTTGGGGTTCCCAAGACAGTTTCAAGAAGTCTGAGAGTTTAAAACTATGTTCATAATAATACTGAGATGTTAATTGCCTTTTCACGTGTTGACATTTGCACTGTTGGTACAGAAGCAATGGTGGGTAAAATTGCTGGTACCTTAGCATAAATCAAAGCGGTGGCACCAAATTATGCTAGCTGTCATTGTATTTTTCACCACTATATATGTGAAAATATAAGTCAATTTTACTTAAGCGTGTCCTTGATGAAGCAGTCAAATTGCTAATTTTATTAAACCTTGATCCTTCAGTACAGGTCTTTTAATAGTCTGTGTGACAACCTGGTATGCATGAAGCGCTTTTACTGCATACCAAGGTACAATACTTATCTCAGGGAAAAGATCTTGAGTGATTATTCAAGTTGTAAACTGAACTAGCTGCTTTTTTTTCCCCATAGGACACTATTTTTGCTAGAAAGAACAACTTACACACTATAGGTTATTCAGACGTTTTCTTGAAAATGAAAGGAATGAGACAATCAACGATGTTTGTTCCCCACAATGAAATTTGAACTTTCAAACAAAATAAGAAAAAAACTTTTATCCAGCACTGTGACCTGGACAGCTTCCCTCTACTTAAAGATTTTCTGATGGAATCAGTGATGATATTAATAAATGTGATTTTTTTTTATATTGTGTAAGATAATATGCCAGCGTTTGAAAGATCTACATAACCTAGAAAACCAGTATCTTCACGATGACGAAAGTGTGATATTAGAAAATTAGCCATAGTTAAAAGATCAAAGAGCAACATCACCAGTGAGTTTTAATGTAGTAGAAGATGAAAAGTTCAGATCCCGTGTTTCAGGCTAACTTCCAAAAAATGACTACGTGTTGAGTTTTGGTGTAGTGTCAAAGAAAAACTACCACAATTTTCTGAAGATGTGATTAAAATGCTCCTTCCTTTCCCAGCTATATATCTGTGTGAGGAGAGATTTTATACTTCAACCAAAACAATGTGTGACAACAGAGTGAATGCAGAAGTAGATAATCCATTTGTCTTCTGTTGAGCATGACATTACAGAGATTTGCAAAAAAGTAAAATAATGCCATTCTACTCAACAGTTTACTTTTTGGAAAATAGAATTATTTTTCATTAAAAATCTGTTATTTATATTAACATGTAATAGATTTGTTATTTTAAATTAATGTTTGTACAATTTCTTGGTTTTAATTTGTAAAATAGTAGATATCAGGAGACATAATTCACATAAGCAAAAGCTATTCGGGCTCTTCAGTAATTAACAAGTGTATAAAGGGGTCCTGAGACCAAAAAGTGTCTGATTTGGAGCATAAACAGAACTACAAAGATTTGCAAGGCTTATTTCTCTCTCCCACCCCACTCCTCTACCCTCCCATAATTAAGACTTTGCAGTCCATGGAATTGATTTTGTGATACTCATATGATTTGGGGTAATCCCAGCTTGGGGTCATTGATTAAAAAGAGTAATTTTAGTCAGTTGCCTATAATCTGATGTTTTGGCGCTAAAGGACCTTGGAAAGTATGTTGTTCTAGTCCAGTCTCCTCACTCTACAGATGAGACAAGAGGCCCAGAGAATGAAAGAGAATTGTCATATGCAATTAGTGGCAGAGCCAGGGCTAGAGGCACCTGATCTCCCATGAAACCAAGGATTCTGTGGGGCAGTTGGGGTTGGTACAGTGCTTATCTTTGCCTTTTAGTGGATTGAACATTTGCCAAGATAGAAATTTGGCTGACCCATCATTCTGCCTATAACCTCCTATTCACTGGCTGCTGATAATGAAGGAGTCACCCCTGGACTCTTGCAGTCCAGTCCTTAAGCTGTTTCCTCAGCATAGTCCTGAAGAGTACTCAGCCTCTTCTCTATAGACTTGAAGCAATTTCTTTGATCTTTCCTGATAAGCTTTGGGGACAGTAGGAAATTCAAGAAGTGTTTTTCCTGGAGGTAGAAATAGAAAGGTTACCAAGAGTAAAATTCCTTTCCAGAGGGTGCAAATGAGTCTTAATTTGGTCTTACTGAGTAACATATATTATTTTCTTTTGGTTTCTCTGGAATTGTAGATTCGAAGAAATGTGTGTAAGCATCATTTAGGAGGGATTTAGGTTATATGGGCAGAAGAATTTCCAGACAGTGCCAGGGGCCAAATCCTAGGTGAGTCTGATGTGGGGCAAAGCCATACCATATTTGACCTGTTCCATATCCTGGAGGTAACAAAGAATAGGAAATACTGAAGAGGAGGCCTCTCCTTTGCTGTCAGTCCTTTGATAAGTTTCCGTTCTCTGTGGCAAAAGTAGAAATTCCTCTCCCATCCTTACCCCTACTTGGGTGGCCACGAAACCGACTCACTTCTCAGTGTTGGTGCCCCACATTGCTCTCTCAGTGCGTTTCCAGGCACTTCTTCCCCGTCGACACACTTACAAACCCTGCTTGTCTTGCTGGGCTCTGTGCAGGCCTCTCCACTTGGAGCCCTCACCTGCCTCCCCTTCTTGGGCACTGTTCCTGTTTCTTTCAGACCCAGATCTTTCTACTTTAGGTGGTTATTAACATGTCCGCCTTATGTTCATTGAGACATTATTAGTTTCTAGAGACTGAGGTCCATATCTGATTCTTACTTATTTCCACCACTGCATTGACACATGATAGATAGTATTTGCTGAGTGAAAAAATGAATGAGAAAGTGTGACAGGTTTTACAGTTGCACCTTGAGGGGTCAGTCTGTACAATAGGGCAGGGAAAAATATGTTCTCAAAGCAGAAGGATAAATTCTGAAGCGGGCTTCTCCAATCCTAGAACTGTATTGCATTTGACTTTTTTTTTTTTTTTTTTAATGCAAAGTAGGTCAGGGACTTCTGACCTACTGAGGTATTGCATGACTTTTACTCTATTCACTTTCCATAAAACTTTCTGTTAAAGGTTTTGGGCTTCTGTTTTTTATTTCCCCTTTTCTCTCACACCAGTATCTGTCCTTCACAGTTAAGGTTGTCATCCTCTCTTATAGTAAGAGATCTAATTCTTTACAGTGGACAAGTCTATGGTGAAAACCAGGCCCAAATACACTAGGAAAGGATGGAGTGCCTAGACAGAGTCACACTATCTCTCTGGTCTAATCTTCAAGAAAGAGAGGGTTCTCAGACATCTCTGGGGTCACACTGCCTGGGTTTGAATCTTGGTTCTACTCTTTACCAAGTATATGACTTTGAGCAAGTTTCTTCCTCATCCATAAAATAAAGTTACTACATGTCTCATAGAGATGTTGTGGAAATTGATTGAGGTGATACGTGAAGGCAGCTAAGCATTTAATGAATGTTAGCTCTCATTAACATGCCCATGTCTACCTTCTTCTCTCTTCAGATGGTTCCAGACCTTGATCCACCTGTTAAAAGGCAACATTGGCACAGGACTGCTCGGGTTGCCCCTGGCAGTGAAAAATGCAGGCATTTTGGTAAGAGTCTGCATTGGTGGAGGGAATTATCATGACAAATTTCTGGAGATAGTGTTTTTAAAAAAAAAAAAAAAAAAATCTCCATTTAAAACGTTGTAAAATGGGAAGCTTTTAAAAAAATTTTAGCTGAGAAAAAGCAAAATTCAGATGTTCATTTGTCTAAAGATATTTATTGAGGGCCTTCTATGTGCCGAGCACTGATCTAGGCTCTTGGAATATTATCAGTGAACAAAACAAATAAAGATTCCTACCTTCATCGAGCTTACTTTATGGCAGGCAGGATGTACTTAAAATGTCTCAGGCTGTTTCTATTAATAATGTTAACTAATGAATTAGTAATAGGAGTCTGTCCATTTTCTACACAGTCCTCCCACACCTTACCTCTCAATGGTCATCTCTGAGAATCTCACCCCCTATAGACTGTCCAAAGCCATTCTGGTTTCTTTTAGAGTTGGTGATAGCTCAGAGATGTGGATTGTCTATAGCTAAGGGCTGTTTTTCTTGATCTGGTACTGCTCTAAAAATAACTTTCGGCCTCCTCCTTATACCCCTTAACCCATTTCTTTTTCCCAGGCAGTGACAGCAACCTTCTGTTTTGCTGATTGGCAACAGTCTTAGACTAGCCTTATCTTGTGTCATTCTCCACTACAAGATGAATTCTCTCAAAGACATGCTAAGGTTCACATGGTGTCCATCTCACCGAGCTAATCTCCACGATCACATTTATGTTTCTAATGCTGTGCCAGAAGTTCTGTCACTGGAAAGTGCCTTAGTCGCGTTTTGATCATTTGCAAATCCAGTTTCAGTTGTCTCACTCCTAATTCTACCTGCTTGTCTCTCCCTCTCTTGCTCACAACATCTTCCCCCAGATGGGTCCCCTCAGCCTGCTGGTGATAGGCATCGTGGCTGTGCACTGCATGAGTATCCTGGTGAAATGTGCTCGCCACTTCTGCCAAAGGTGAGAGCCCTCCAAGCCACCTCTTGAGTGACAGATTTTTCTTTTGGGTTCTATTACCAATCCTGAAAGTGAGCACTTACACAGTTCACTCTAAATTCTTGATGCTAGCTGAAGGTGAGCGCTGATTAGCACAGCATACCTTTTCCTGTTATTTTTGTGTTCATTTTCATCATGTATCATGTGTCAAATTTACTTATGTCAGTGGATAGCATATTCTAATTTTATGTTTTGTAATATTTTCCCATTAAAATGATTCTACCAAATGGTTGTTAATTATAATGAAAGTAACTGTCCCATTGACTTAACACTTCTGATCCTTGAAAGCATTCAATCCAGGACTCAGTGATATTTCCAGAGTGACAGATAGGGGACCTGGCCCAGGTCTCAGTGAGCTGCATTTGTTCTGTCATTGTCTAACCCACACACTTTGCCCTTCCTCTCTCTCTCTTCTCCTCTCAGACTGAACAAGCCCTTTGTGGACTATGGGGAGACAGTGATGTATGGACTGGAATCCACCTCCAGCTCCTGGCTCCGGAACCATGCACACTGGGGAAGGTAACTGGTTTCCTTTCTCATTGCTGCTGTGGCCTCCCAGTGTGGAGGCCTTCAGACTGGGGTGAGATATGGGAGATAGTGTCAGTAGTGGAAAGAGCATCATTTGGGTCATTGGACTTGTTCTAGCTCAGCTTGTCAGTGACCTTGGGCTGTGTGACTCTTCCCTTCTCTGGGCCTCAGTTTCCTCATTGGTAAATGTGAGGCCTGGCCTGAAAGATCTCTATAGTCTGTTGTAGCTTTGATAGTCCATGATCAGTAGTATATTTCATTTCTTCATTTGTTCAACAAATATATTTATGTGCTCTTATAAGTGGTACAAAACAATTCTAGGTATAGGAAGGGGAGAATTCCCTGAGGTAAATTATGTGGTCCCAGTCCTCCAGAGGGTTATAGTCTTTCTAAGGAGAAAGGTGCATGGGAAGCTTGTGAACAGAGCTCAGGGATAGTATAAACCAGTAGGAAGAGGATGTCCTGAACTAGATATACATCCTAGGCACTCAAAGGGGAGGGGCTTTCAAGATTCTCTTGTGTATTGTGCCAGATGAGAAGTGTATATGATAGGTGCTTTAAGGGCAGAGCACTGGACAGGAGAAAGAAGGCTTTCAAGGAGGAGGTGAGGTGAGCTAGAGAGAGTAGAACAAATGGGTTTATTAAGGAAGGAGACATTTCAGGAGATGAGGATATTTGGAAATTTCTCCTTATGGTAACTTATAAGATACCTGAAGGGAAATATTCTTTTTGTTTTCTATTTGAGGAAACAGTATATTTAGATGTAGAGAATTGATAGAATCAACGGCCAAATCCCTTTTTTTTAAAAATTGAAATACATTGAAACTATGTTCTCCAGAAAAACTTCTTTTTGTGATCATAAGAAGACTTTCACTTTCACTTATTGTCTTCTTCCTGTGATGTGGGTTTATGTGATCCTTTCAGCAAAATCGTTTTCTGATTGGGAGAAGCCATATTGTCAAGTAACCACCATTGGTTGGTTGGTTGTTTGGTTGTTTGATTTTCCCTCCCTCCCTCCCCCTCCTTCTCCCCTCTTTCTCTCTCTCTCCTCCTCTCTCCCTCTCTCCCTATGGCACCCCCTGCCTCCTTTCCTTCTATCATTTAATAAGAGTAATGCGTGCTCATGGTAAAAAAAAATTATTTTTGAACAAGTAGGACATAAAGTGAGAAGTAAAAGTGTATACTGGTCACAGTTGCATGAATATACTTTTTGAATTTCTCTATATATACAACCATATACATGTTCTTAAATTTTTTTTTAATACAAATTGACCATACTATGCATACTGTTTGGAAACTTATTTTTACCATTAAAGGTTTTAGTGATTTCTCTATCAGCACATGTAGATTTAACATATGCTTTTTACATTCTGAATACAGTTCCATTTAAGAATGGTCTATAATCATTTTCCTTTTGATGACCCTTTAGGTTCTTACCAGCTATTGTTGTTGTAACAGTGCGTCAACCAGCAGTCTTTTTGGGTACATCTATTTCCATGTGCTTATGTGAGAATAGCTTGGTTCTGGGATCCAAGTTATAGAAAGAGATTGTGAAGGGGTCCACTTCCTGGGCTTTTATGCTGAGGGTTTCTATAGCTTTAGAATAAATGGCGTGAGATGGGACAGGTGGGCCATGGGGAGGAGGAGGTCAAGGGGCACGCAGCGGTCCTGGTGTTTGTGCTCTACTCTGGCCATTACAATCTTGAACTTGTCTGACCTGCAGCATTCCAAACAAGCCAGGAAGGGGACCTCAGAAATCACTCAAATAGCACCTCCTTTGCCTTCCCTCAAAGCTCCAGACTGGTGGCATCTAGCATAGTTTTTCTTCTCACCAGGGCACACTCCTCCTTGTCACTTGATGGGAAGGGCCTGTGATGACTGGGACAAAAGCACTGTTCAAACACCCATCTCTCTGGGAGTCTCACTTTTTATTATCATGATCTTTGTATTCCTTCCTTCTTCACCTTCAGGCACATCGTGGACTTTTTCCTGATTGTCACGCAGTTGGGATTCTGCTGTGTCTACTTTGTCTTTCTGGCTGACAACTTTAAACAGGTAGGGCCCTGGTAAGAGAGAGAGAGAGAATGGCCAGAGATGAGTGGACTTTCTGTTTAGGATTCCTTCCAAACCAGTTTTGTTCAACAAAAGAATTAGGGTTCTTTGTATAGAACAGTGTCTTTTATTTGATTTTATCTAAAGATGTAGGACATTGAGAAACCTCAAGATGTCCGTTCTCCTATTTTTAGGTATGATATGATCAAACTCAGCTAAACGATTGGTTTCTGTGATAATTATGAAGATCTCCAAAGATGGTCTACCTACCACAGACTTCTGTATGACCTTGGTCACACACTTTAGTCAGAAACCCTTTGTGGTGGGAGGTCCACTGGCCTTTGTGTTTTGAGAGGTCTTTTCCGTTTCTTGTCTTCCTCTCATTCTAGGTGATAGAAGCGGCTAATGTGACCACCAACAACTGCCACAACAATGAGACGGTGATTTTGACACCCACCATGGACTCGAGACTCTACATGCTCACCTTCCTGCCCTTCCTGGTGCTGCTGGTTTTTGTCAGGAATCTCAGGGTCCTGTCCATCTTCTCCCTGTTGGCCAATGTCACCATGATGGTCAGCTTGGTCATGATCTATCAGTTTATTGTTCAGGTATGAGCCCCGGCTTCCTCCTCTACTTATTAAATAATCAAAGAAACAAGCAACACAAATAAGTAGCATGTGAATAGGAATATGTTACTTATCTGTGGTATATTTAGATTAGGGCTTCTCAGTTTCAGCACTGTTGACATTTTGTGCCAGATAACTCTTTTGTCATGGGGGCTGTCCTATGCATTGTGGGATATTTAGCAGCCTCCCTGGACTCTACCCACTAGGTACTAGTAGCTACCCCTGCTCCTAAATTGTAACAAAAGTCTCCAGATGTTGCCAAACATCCCTGGGGGTCAAAATCACCACCCTTGAGATCACTGAGTTAGACTTTTTCCCAATTAGACAGTTAATACATGATCATTGTATAAGATTGGAAAACAGAGAAAAATATTAAAATGAAAATAAAAATCAACTTTTCTAACCTATATTTAGATAAAATAATTTCTTACCAGTCCAATTTTATATTTATTTGTCACAATTATAAATCCAGTTATTGTTCCCCCTTGCACAGCCCATGTGGGCAGGTCTGTGGGGTAGTACACTAGAGGACATCTATATAGATGGATAGAAGATCAGACTGAGAAAAATGTGCTCTTAAACACCATGGCTGTTTGTGGATAAGACAATACCTTTTGCCAGAACTTGAGAAAAGAAAAAGAATGAAAGCAGGGGGAAAAAAGCATAACTTAAAAAAAAAAAAGATATTTGAATTTAATTCCCCAAACAACTCACGAATACACACATTAAAATTCAGACAATGCAAGTACCTTTTGAACACCAACCACATCCCACCCTGCGTCTCCTCCTCAGGGACCTACTGGGTTTGATTGGTCTCTTTCTAGGTTCTATGAGTGCATTACACACTATATTAGTATGGAAAGAAATATAAAACAAAAATATATTTTGTTTTTTTAACACAATTTAAAAAATTATATGTAGTTTTCAACCATTATGCTTTTTGTCCCTCGACAGTGTCTCAGAGAGCTTTCCAGGTTGATACCCCTGGTGTTACCTCATTCTTTTTAATTGCTACATAGTACCTCAAAGAATAGATGTGCCATAATTTGTTTAACCAGTCTCCAATCAGCAGACCATCAGATCATTTGTAATTTTTGGTATTATTTCAGTATTATGACGGTATTATTTTCTTATGCCTTCCTTTTGGTGGTTATGAATAAATATTTTTCCAAGATATTTATCTAGAGGTACACTTGCTGAAGAGTATGTACTTTTGAATTTTTTATATTGTCAAGTTGCTTTTTCCAGAACCTATTTATTGACTTCATATAGACTCCCTTCCATAGTATATAAGTTTCCCACCTTAGCCATTGATTGGTTATATCAGTCTTTTTAATTTTGGTCAGTCTGACAATGAACATTACCTCATTTTCACACTGTGTGCTTAACAGTGATCTAGTTAAGCACACAGTGGTTTCCTAGTTAAGCACACAGTGGTTTCCTAGTTAAGCACACAGTGGTTTCCTAGTTAAGCACACAGTGGTTTCCTAGAAACCACTGATATGGTTTCTAGGAAAACAGTGGGTCATAAAAAGTAGGGACATGTTGTACAGAAGAAGCGACATAATGAATTTAGATTAGTGAGCATTTACTGTTTTTTTCTTGTCCTAGTGAGTCAGATGGGTGGCAGATATTGACTCTTCCGCAGAATTATTTTTTAAAACATAAACAGGTGTGCATACCCCATTTTTTTTTTTTATGGGACTGGAAGGAAGGCCTATGAATGTGCGATGGATCATTTCTTTCTCTGCCTCTGAAAATTAAGTTAAAACAAAGAAGGTTAAATAAACTTTTGTTTTAACTTTGTAATTAGAGATCTCCATCGGTGCTTAGGATGCACTGCAATGGACATAAAGATGAAGTGAGAGACACGCAGCACATTTAATTACAAACCACTGCAGGTAATTGGACTGGTGGTTGCCATGATCAGAGGGCTAGGATGGGAATATGGGATCCGACAGTGTCTCTCAATCACAGCTGAAGGTGGTGTCTGTCCAGAGCACTGTCTATGCAAAGTACAACTTGCACTTTCAGATGAGGCAGCCCCGCTGATCTCGCGGGAGTGACTGTGAGCCTGCCTCTGGGCTCAGTCAGGAGCTGTGCTATGATCAAGGCATGCTCTCTGCCCTAGGTGCAGCATATGTTTGGCTGTGTGTTAAGTGCCTTCATTTTGACATCGCACATTGCTGAAAGATACTCCCTCTTGGTCGTTTTTATTGCTGTTGCTGCTGTTACTACTGCCCTGTCTTGGCATTTTGCTCTGTTTACCTTGAGGATACCACTGCTGTCCGATGTCCCTGAATCACGAGCATGTATATGATGGCACTCTTGCTCCTCATGCACATGCTATCATGAAGCCAACCAAGGTCTTCCACCTGAGCAGGTTTCCCATGTCTTTATCACATGGCATAATGAGTGGTGTAGTTCTGAGCAGAGTGCCTTGCCCAGAGGGGGCTCCCAATGAACATTGCATATCCTTAATTCTGAGATGCATTTTTTCACATTTATAGTGTTTCTAAAACTGGAGTATATTTTGCAATTCTTAAGTATGTTTAACAGCATTTCTCAAAAAGCTGTCATTATTATAATTGATAGTATTATAGAATTGAGGAAATATATTCAGAGTGAGCTGATTTTAATTTGTATGTTTCTTTTAAAATTCAACTTTTTCCATTTAGTTGTTTGGGTTATAAGTCAGTAGCCATCATTAAATATGTAGAATCATAAATTCTTTCTGCTGGTCTCATTACACTCCCACATCAGACATGTACTCTGAAATTCTCTCTGTTACCTCGGCCTGATCTGATGTACGAACCTGGGTAGTAGTTGTCTGCTAACCACCAGATTGCTCCTCTTTCCAGGAACTGAAGTTACACTGTGACTCAGGAATAATTATAGGGCACGTTTACTGTCATCTCATTGTAGAGCAAAGATATTTATTAGTCTGTCTTCATTCTAGGTACTGAAATGCTTCTTATAAAGAGGTCTGATTTCTTAGGAGGTCAGAAAAAAGTATTTTTTAAATTCTTTTTATTTTAGGGAGACCATATATATTTACTTAGAAACCTTTCAATGAGAAGAAGCCTATTATAGAAATTAATACTAGATCTTCTTTTGTTCACTAATACTATTCTGTCATACTGTTAGAATATGCCCATATTTATCTAACTACCTTTATAGTTTAAATCAATTTTGAAATATTGTAAAAGGCAATTGTAAAGCCAATTCTTATTTTAATCTAAACAATGTATACTCATGGTTTAAAAAGCCAAATTCTGAACGGACAGCAGCTTCTGCTCCACTCCGTGTTCTATTCCTTCAATGCCATCCATTACTGGAACTATTGTCCAGGTAGGACAATAGTGGCTGCAATTCCTTGCTTGTACAGCCTTACATTGTACCTGCAGTTGACAATTGCCTTGGTTTTCATTTTCTTATTTTTTGTCTCTTTTACCCTTATCTACCTCTCCCCTTATCCCCGTTCCTTCTGGTAACCACTAATCCACTGTTCGTGTCTGTGAGACTCTGTTTGTCATGTTTGTTTGTTGCTTTCAGTTTTATATCCCACATAGGAGTGATATCATGTTGTTTTCAACTTTTTCCGTCTAATTTCCCTTAGCATGATTTCCTTAGCACATTGTCCAAAATGGCAGTATTTCATCTTTTCTTATGGCTGGGTAATATTCCATTGTATATATGTACGACATGTTCTTTATTCAATCATTTGTCATATTTTAAATGTTCTTTTACATATTTTTTCCCAAATGTTCCAATACTCCTGTCATATGCCTATCAATAATATTTTCCAAGTACTCAAACTCATTCACAAGAATTTACAAGAGAGGAAGAAAGAAAGAGAAAAGAAGAAAAGTAGAGAGAAGAGAAAGAGCTTATCTGAAAATTTACCACTCTCTCTTCCAGCTTTATCTGTGTGGAGTATTTATGTAGGTGTATTATAGCAGATATGGAAATTTAGATTTTATTGATTTTTTTACTATTATTTCATAAGCAGTTTTTCATGTGCTACGTAGTTATTTCAATTTTTGCTTTTTAAATAGTTTATGATATTCTGTGGTATAGTTGATGTGCATGCAGTAAACTAAATGTTCACTTGTTTGGGAACTTTTTGGTTGTTTTAGTTATTAATAAATAGCTTTGCTCAACTCTTTTTATATTTTTATTTTTTTTTCTACTAGGATTAAATTTCTGGGGATGGAATTATCTAGAGAAAGAATGTGACTATTTTTATGCAAGCTCCAGCATTTGAGTTTTTTTTAATGATGCATTGGACTAGTCCCTCCCCAAAGCAAATAGGATATTCTCAGCCTGAAGGGAAAAAAAATACAAAGGCTAATTGTCCCAGATCATCTGTTAGGTTTCAGACTTTCTCTCTTCAGAGAATCTTGGATTTAGGAAAAGATATAACCTGATGTTGGGGTTCAAGTCTTGAATCTTTGTATAGCCTTTGCTTTGTTTTATTTTCTCTCTTTCAGAGGATTCCAAATCCTAGCCACCTCCCATTGGTGGCACCCTGGAAGACCTACCCTCTGTTCTTTGGCACGGCCATTTTTGCATTTGAAGGCATTGGAATGGTAAGAGTTGCACTGTGGTTCAGGGGTGTCCTTGGTGTCCTTGAGGAATGCTGAGGAAATACCATTAGAAGTGATCTTCTGAGTCTTATTGGCTAGTTTAGTGAGCAGTATTTCAGAGATTCCACTAAAGTTTCCCAGCTCCGACTTTTGAAAATAAATTGTAAGTAATTAGAGAATGTTTACATTCAAATTGCCTTTTTTGCATGTTCATCTTCTGTGTGTACAGTAAGCAATAGAACATCACCATTAAGAATGCAGGGTCTAGATTTAGACTGACTGGGTGAGTCCTCTTGCAGAAGAGTAACTGTGTGACCTTGTGCAAGGACTTAACATCTCTGAGCCTTTATTTGCTTCCGAAAAATGAACTTAGTGATTAGTAGTTGTTAAGATTAAATGAGATATGTGTAAAGTGCTTTGTACAGTCCCTGACATATGATGAGCCTTACATTTTGTTTTTATTACTAATACTGTTGATTTTATTATTAAATCAGTAAATGTACGAGTAATTTCTCTGCCCTAGATCATTGATGTATTTTCTTTGTGTAAATAGGTGGTAGCCTTCACTCCTAGCTCAGCTTCCCCCCATCATTTTTGTGATTTCACCAGATCTGCCACTCAATCGTACCTATTTTTATTTTTATTTTTCATGATAAAGGTCTAGAATTCTCTGAAGAAAATTTTTAGCTCTGCTGGCCAAGGGCTTAGGAAATGGAAAGACACTCTTTTCATGGAATATCTTTTTGTCCCCATTTGATTTCTCTGTCACCTTATACACTCTTAAGAAAAACCTAGCAGCCTGACAATTTTTTTTCAAAATACTGAAGAATTGCTGTGGAGTGTGTTGATAGAATGTGTTAATAAGGCTCTAACATCATGGGGGAGGCTTTCTGAGTGATCATGTGTAGGTCGTTGTCTTGTGGATGTGAACCTTTCTCTGTGCTCTTTCTTGGGGCTTCTCATTTCCCAGGGAGAATGTCTCACTCTGATTCACAAACACCAATGGTTTCCCTGCTGCTAGGGAAGAGGCCTGAGTGGGCCCGTATTGCAGCAGTGAGGAAGAGGTCCCACGTACTTGAGACTGGAAAGTGTGGAAAGATGCCCAGACACCTTGGGTTCTCAGGGAGCATTATGCTAGGTTTATCAGTTTTCCCTAACAGCACGGTATAGAAGTTGTTCTTTGTTTCATTTCATTAGCCAAGGCTTGGGTATTGAGTCAGTCAGTCTGTAATCATTATCTCTTCAAGATTTCTGCTTTCTATTTTTACAGCAGAGAGAACTATGCTATTTTGACTCTTAGTTTGGATTTGGGGGATGTTGAGCATGTCTGGGTAAAGTGGCCCTGCTCACTGTTTACTGTGTTCTCTCTGTGTTTGCACCGCTGGCCCAGGCTTGGCGGACATGGAGGAGATGGGTTCCCTGCCCTCTACATGGGAGGAAACTGAAGAAAAGTTTAGAAACCATTTCTTACTGGGTGTGGATCAATGGTAGCTTGAGACCCTTGAGGTGGTAGGAAGGCGGATTGCCAAAGGCCAGCTGGAAATGCAGAGCTCTGGAACCCTCAGAGCACCAGGCTTTGGATCATGGTGTCTGCCGGGGTGTGTCTGACATAGACCTACTCTGCCTCATGGTCACAGGTGCTTAAGGAAAATGAGTGCAATGACAGATCAAAGATGGTTTGTAGTCATCGCCCTGTGTTGCTTTTCCTGGTCAGCCATGCCAGATGTAGTTAATGGCAGATTTTAAGATTGTCACAGTCACACCTGCTGTTTTCCCCATTCCTAAATGAACCAAACTTCCTAACCTTTCCTTTGCTTCAGCTAAAGTTAAAGAATGTCCTCTGCTGTGAGGGAGGAGGCGGCAAGGGTCAATGGTTTGAAATAGGAGTCTGAAAACTAGGATTTGTCATACATCTCCGTGATCCTGAATCTCCAAGATCCTCTATTAAGTCATGCCACCCCCACCATCTTGTTTTTCTAACTCGGAGGTTTAGCTTGTCACTGCTGGTGCCTGCCCCTTTTGAGATAAGGCAAAAGTTTCTGGGGACTAGAGTGGCAGTTTTCCCTGACCTGTGTTTTGTATTCTTTGGACAGCTTATCAGAGCCGTGCTCTCAGGTGAGGTACAGCTGGCCCCTGCCAGCACCAGCACCTATTCCAGGTGGGCATGATGCAAAAGGGCCTGCTGGTTGCCAGGTGGCTGCATTAAAAGGTCAAGGTGCACTCCCAGCCTGCAGGGATCTTATAGCAGGAGGCAAAGCACTGAACTGGACCGGAAGTCTTTGGTTCCAGTCCTGCCCACTCTTCCCATTCAGTACTTGCCAATTAGACAGTGGGCTCTAGGTCTCCTTAAGGTTTGTGAGTAGAACTTCTGAGGAAACAGCTTACATTTATTTGTCTGTCTAATAAAGGATGGCTTTTGGGGAATTCTGGAAATAAGAAGGTACTTTTTTCTGAGAATATTACTTTTTTTTTTTTTTTGGCCATTAATGTTGCTTTTTTTTCTATCTTTTCTTTTCTCTCTCACTATTCTCATAGGTTCTGCCCCTTGAAAATAAAATGAAGGATCCCCGGAAATTTCCACTCATCCTGTATGTGGGAATGGCCATCATCACCACCCTCTACATCAGTCTGGGGTGTCTGGGGTACCTGCAGTTTGGAGCTGATATCCAAGGCAGCATAACTCTCAACCTGCCCAACTGCTGGTATGTGAGAGAGGATGGAAGCCTGGGAACATTAGGTATTTTTAGCAAATGGGTCAGAATGTGGATTCTTCCTGCTACCTCTCTCTGAAGTCAGCCTGCTTCACTTTAGCCCACTGCAGCCACCATCTCCTCTGCTTGTCCCCAGGCCAGCACCATCCCTCCTTGGCTGTCCACCACACTTTTTGACTTGTCTGCCTGCCCGAGTCTTACCTTTTCTCTAGATCTGTGGCCTCCTTGTTACCTGTGTGAGCCACCTAACAGCCCTCAGTCTGGTGGGTCATGCATATGCCTTTTGAGAACGCCTCAAAGGCTTCCCCTTTCTCTCCTTAATGTGCCTGTCAGGCAGGCCTTTCAGGCTCTGGCCCCACCCCGACCTAATTCCTGCTTATTGAGGAGGACTCGGTCCAGAAGTTGCTCTTTTTAAGAAACTTTCTCTGATATCTCGCCGACTGCAGCTTAAAGTCTAGGTCAGATGCCCCTTCTCTCTGCTCCCCCAGGATCCCATTAGGATCCAATTTTAATTCTTATCCCATTATGTTGTAATTGTCCATTTACCTGTACTGTGAGCTCTGAGGACAGCAGCCGTCCAATTTTCTATTTTCTCCTAGCACTTGGCTTATGATCATTACCAGGTGAATGGTTTTTGAACAAAAAGGAGGAATAAATGCTGAGACTGAGGCATTTTGTAAATGAGATGTTATCAGGAAGCAGCTGGGTGTAGAGGACAGTGGTGATCTACCTTGTCCTAGCTCTGTGGACTTGGACAAATCACAGCTTCTCGCTGCCTCAGTTCCCTCTTATAAGAACCAGGAATAGTCATTTCTTCCTGCCAGGATTGTCATGAAGATCAAATGATATGCGTGACAGAGATCTCTGTAATACTATACTGGTGCTATTGAAAAATAGGATGCTGCCCTGAGCTTTGTTCTTTGGATAAGGAATTCCTATGGAGGTACATGCTGAATGGATTGGTTGATCAGCTCCTTGTATACCATTTCTCTCTGGAAATCTAAGCCCAGAAGGGCCAAATATCTAATCCATTTACCTTAAACCATTCTGTATAGATGGGGAGAGAGGAGGGCACACGTGCTTGGTTCCCAGCTTCTGCTGTGCCTCTCCCATGTGATCATCGACTTTGTGTGCAGGTAGAGGCCTCTAACCTTGGACCAAGTGTTGTTGGGAGCCCTTCTGTATCTCATTTTCTTCAACTTTCAGGTGCTATATT